GCCCAGGCGAACGTCTCTGGCCTGGTGGGCTGCGGTGAGATAATCGCTGACGGACATCTCTCCTAAGGTGCCCTAAATGCGCGCTGGGTGCGGCGGGTGCTGCTTGCTCATTTATCCAGCCGTCTGGCCAATTCACCTGGAGTGATGGGGGAGACGTCAGGAAGGCAGGCTGCTATTTCACGGCCTGTTAAGCGCTAATTCTGCAACATGCCCAGCGCTCCCATTTTAGGGAACAGGGAGCATTACCACCCAGCTCAAGGTTCTGTCTGTCTGGATGGTGGACTTGGGGGCTAGTGGAGGGTGGAGGAGAGAAAGGGCAGTAGGGCGAATGAGAGGTGGAGGACAAAACAGTACCGTGACATATTCGCTGAAGAATTAAAAGACTGCGAAAGAGAAAACCCTGGACAGGGGATGGAGCACAGTAAAATGTCGAGATGGAAAGAGGAAGGGGGAGAAGAGTGAAGCCTTGCACTGCACGGCTTGCTGAGCCAGCACCGCAAAGCAGACGAGCCAGGCAGCGACTCTCACCACACCAGGAAACGCCTTCCAGAACATCCTGCCATCCATTTTCTGTCCTCACTCGAGTCGCGGGTAAGCCGGAGCCTCTGCCTACTGTCTGGACTTAATCACCTCCAAATATTACATACACAGCGCACAACAAATTGATGGATAACTAGTTTTGAAATCAGAAGTGGAGAATAATGGCTTGTTCAGACATTGCTTACGTTAACGTATTAAGGAGTCTGGTAATGAACAAATGCTTGCCATTTCTCTGTTACTGTGAATTATGTATTGCAATTTGAAATGTTGGTTCAAACTTCAGCAAGCATCACAGTTGACATGCTTGATTTGACACCTCTGACATAGGATGATGATTCTGGTCCCCGGGTCTTGAGCTGGAGACCCGCAATTTAGAGTCGGTCTTCAATGAACCTCAGAAAGATATTTTTGCAACGTAGGGGGAAGGCGCAGAATCCACACGCGAGCATGGGAAGTGTTTTAATCAGCAGTGCTGTAGGGCCGGGTCATTATTGGGTGATTCATTCAAGCCTTTGAGTCAAACCAATTTTTTTTCCCCCCCTCAACTGCCGAAAAAAATATGTACATTTTTAGCGGCTTCCGTCGTTTAAAGTACGTCACCGCTGACGTGCACTGTTTACACTGACCACATGGCAGTGGCGATATGGTCGAGGCTGTATGAAATCGACATCCTATGACTGAATCTCATACTTGTAGCCTAGAAGAACTCTCGATCCCTAATATACGCTGCAAGCATCCAATCAAAGAGGGTTTTCCATGTAGTGGGTGGCATTGTAATGTTGTAAAAGCCTTACTGGACAGCTTTACAAAAAACTGTACCGGGCCAACAAAATGTTCCAGATGCTGGTCTGACTTGGCCAGTGAAAATTTCCAAAAAAATACAATGAAATGAACACAATCTTGTTGAACAAAACAACAGTAACAACGGTGGCGCTTTTTTAAAAAATGTATTTAGCTTTGCAAAAGGACCATACATTGCATTCAGAAATTCTACATTTGAACTGCAATTTATATTTGTGTTTGTGTTAATTTAAAAACTACCTGATGATACAAGACAGAAAATAAATTGTTCATTCATTATATTGTCGTATTTAATTTTTGGGGGGTTTCGTTTAATCACACCCTTGCTTCATGTCCTTGCAATTAACCTGCAGAAGATTGCTCCTCATAATTAGAAAGCTGCTCCGTCACCTCAAACGAAGTCATTGATTCTCAAAACTTGCTCCGCAAAGAAAAGAAAAAGGTCTTTTGAGCCTTGCTCAAATCAAATCAAGTATTGGAGAAATTCACAAATATGGTCCCTGGGTGAGACACTTCTCTTTCACCCAACAGAGTACGATGTGCAATCCTGACTCTTTTGAAGATTGGTTCATTTGACTTGGGAGCGCAACAGCCTTTTTCGGTTTGGTTGTTTGTTTTATCAAAAGCTTAATCAAATAATAAGCCCTTATCATGTTTTGCAAGCACTTCAAACATTTCGATTTGAAGAGCCACTTATTTGACAAGTGAGACTGTGCTCATCACTTTCCCACCTGCAAACCGCCTCTGATGAGCAGCTAACAAATGAGACCAGAGTAAAAACACAGCCACAGACTTCCCGTCTTGCTCCCACCAACCCCCCAAGCGTCTTTGCTCGTATCAGTGAACAGCTATTGTGCTAATGTGACTTATGCTTTGGTACATTTTTATGAGAGGGTGCATAGAGAACAGACGGTGCAGGTTCAATGGTTTGACAACGGCATTTACATTTACCGCAAACTTTTATTCTACGCGTTATTATGCATGGACAAGCAAAAATGTAATAGTCACTAGTGCATTAACATTTAAAGTAAAAACCTTGATGTAACGTACAACTCGACTAAGTTTCACAGTTATAGTATTCAGTCAAGATCTGGATTTGATATTCGTTTACCGTCTAATCAGCGAGTCCCGAATCAACTGGAATGGGTTGCTTATTGTACTTTTACTGAAAAAAATGGCAGAGGAGGAGATGGAAAGAAGGAAGGAGGTTGGATGAAAGAATAAACGCTATCTTTTATCTTTTTTTCAGCAACATCAGTGCCCCCTTTGCTGTGTAATCCTCAAAAGGGAGAAATTGCAGAAAAAAAACCCATACTCCACAATTATGATGGACATTGCAAAGACATACTGCGCAGAAATTTATGGAACTGCGGCTATGTATTCATGAAATGTAGTCGCGGCTCCATGTTTAATAACATACATGACAAAAAAAAAGTTCGATCTTTAAAGAGCCAAAAGCACATAAAAGTGAAAGTGCATGACCTTTTGTACAGACACTCCTTAATTGAGTGTCTGATGCGAATGCAATTCCATTTTCACACATTCATACAGAGAGAAGTGATCCTGACTCAATCGTCCACCTTGCCGGAAGTATCAGATCGTGTGAAAATATGCACGAGGTCAAACAGATGGATTTGTCATGTCCCAGCAGGTTATCAGACCATTGCAGGAGCAGCGATGATACTCAGCCATCGTCCGAGTGACAAATATCTGGAGGAGTGCAAACAGAGAGCAAAGCCCCTGTTGGGAGAATGCCTGAGCTCTGATCGTGTCACACTGTGTGACACAAACACCACTGCCGGAGGTGTGTGCCGCGCGTCGTGTCTCTGTGTGATTTTGTGCCCACACAATATTCCAAATCTTACACCCATAGCTACCTCATATAGGCCTTACGTCTCAACTCCTGCTCGACTGGTAATAAACCAAAACCTGAAGTTCAGCACAATAGACAACTAGGGAGGCAAAGTTTGGCTTGGAGTGGAATTGCTGATAAATCAGCCGAGCTGCCTCAACACCGCATGCCACCGCCACAGATCAAGCAGAAATAAGCCGGGGAGCCAAAAATAGATACAACGGTGTGTTTTATGGCTTGTATGGGAGGTGACTTGGAGTGAGGTGAGGGAGCGCGTGCTGCTCAGTACTGCTTTGAGCAAGCAAGATTAATGTAGCCTCTCTGGAGCAACGGCAACATCCCGAGTCTTAATAAGGTACAAACAATCGGCTCCACTCCACCGGTTTCCTGGGGAAAACTATTGTTGTGCTGCATTGTTTCCTGCTGAGACTCCTTGGAGACTGCCGTATGCCAGCGTCTCCATCATAGCCCAGGGAGAGCTCAACGGTGGCAAAAAGCTTGTCTCTCAGCACGGTTCCGCCAAGCAGGGCAGTGCGCCTCGGAATGTCTAGGTAAGGTCGGGAGTGGGAAATATGGACCAGGCTAGATGCATGCTGATATGGCCAGCATAGCAGGGTCGTCCGGTCAGGCCAGAAAGAAACTTGAAATAATATACACACTATCGCATTTATTAGTCTGTGCTGTATGTTGCACATACTGCACATTTGACAATAAAGTTGTACTTAACTTAACTTACCTTAACTTAAACTAGTATTAGGATTACATTCAATTATTTTCCAGTTGAGTGATCTGGTCCCAGCTTCACAATTTTTGTTTTTTTCCAAACCAATAAAGTAAAAAATATCATCATTAAATTGAATAAAATACGAGAAAAAATTAGCTTGGCGCTGCCGGCACGTGGCAGTGCTGCGCTCTGTTGGCGCACTGTGTCGAAGAAGCGTGTTTCTCTTCCCTTCACCACTAGAGGGAGCCTCACCTGGTTCAGGACATGCAGACCTCGCTGCCATCTTGAGTCCCCAGCGATTTCAGACTGAGGGAACTGTGTTTGGCTCCAATAAATTCATCATATCTCGTCCGCTTCTAGACCGATTCTGACACAGACTGGGTTGTTAGAAACGTCAGACATGCAGTCATGGTACTGCAAAAGTGGGCCATTTTAGAACATTAAATATAGAGGGAAGAGCAAATGCTTTAAAAAAAAAAAAAAAGATGAGCACAAAAAAACACAACAATGAGTTTGACCTCATATTAAATGTTGTTTTGTTTTCCTTGCTATCTGGATCATGGTTGGATTCAATTTAACGATGACCTTGAAAACATGTTTCAATGACGGTCAAAATTGAAACAATCTTCTATTTTGCATTCCTATTTTTATATCGGCCTCGAGAGGAGTCAGTGGCGGTGCAGCAGTCGTGACGCCAGCGCGTGTCACTGCGTCATGGGAGTGTGGGAACAAGAAACCCCAAAATAATAAAAAGCAATGCACTGCAGTAAACAAAGAATAATGGACGACATCCGGCGTGTTGTGTTAACTTTTCTCCGCATGCGTCTGATTATTATTCCGAAAAAAACAACCCTTGTATCAGCATTTTCCATTTCGATTGTTCAACAGGAGTGACTGGAGTGCATTTAGCGAGAGCACACCTTCATGGAAGACAGTCAGTTGTTTGGTCTCCTTCCAAACGTCAGACAACCAAACAGGGAATATTTAACTGAAGGTCAAGCGCACCGCTTGGTGCAAATGCAACAAAACAGACCCCCCACATTTGGCACATATATGCATCTCAGTTCCAGCCGGGCCACTCACCTCAACTCCTTGCACTTTCAGCTTCATGTGATCCTCCCGTGTGGTCTTCCCGTCTTTCCTCTTCTTCCAGCAGTAGCCATCCTTTCTGTACTTGACCTTCTTCCTATTGTACAATATCATCGACCCATTCTGCGGCCTGCATCCGAGGAGACAAGACACAGAGCAGAGGAGAAATATTGACAGTGAAATTGTTGGGCAAAGTCGCAGCACTTTACACGCAGTGTGTTCAGAAACATCCAGAAAGTCCTGACAGCAGTCTGAAGGCAATGCACCAGTGACTTTAATGATACCATTTCTTTGCGGTTCTTCAGTGCTGGCGATGAGTAAAACTACCTGCGGCATGGATGTCGGAATCAAGGAGTGTGTGTGTGTGTGTGTGTGTGTGTGTGTGTGTGTGTGTGTGTGTGTGTGTGTGGCTTGGGTGACGCTCTAACACTTGGAGCCAAATGCACGGCGGCCAGACGCTGTTCCTTATCTCTCATTCAACCTAAATGAGTTCAGCTGTTTGAAATCCCAAGAGAGAAGAGACACTGCTACTCCCTCACTCTCCATTCATAATTCATTCTCCCTCCAACAGACCACAGCCCGGAGGCTCATCATGATATCATGGAACTATTTGATGATCATCTGCCTTTCTGCTTGGATTTCTAACAGAGCCATTTGGTGCTCAGTGTTGAGCATTAGCAGAAAGTGTAACATAAAACATTTACAATTCACTCAACAATTGGAAAGAGATGTGTGTGTGTGTGTGTGTGTGTGTGTGTGTGTGTGTGTGTGTGTGTGTGTGTGTGTGTGTGTGTGTGTGTGTGTGTATTGTGGCTCCCCTACCATTAATCTGTGCAAATGCCACACTTGCACATCACTTTAACACCCAAATGCACTCGCTTGCACACATACACATACACACACACACACACACACACACACACACACACACACACACACACACACACACACACGCGCGCACGAGCACACACACAC